TCTCCAAACACCGCCCCCCCCTCCTCCTCCTCCCCACGGTCTCCCTCCCTTTCTCTCACCCCTCTCCCCTCCTGCCACCCCCGTTTTCCTCTTGCATCATTCATCTGCAGCCCCTCGGACGGCTTCGGGGGCACCTCGCATCCTGGGGCTGCAGCTCGCAGAGACCCTCTCGCACCCCACGAACAGCATCCCCCAGGCCCACTGCTCCACCACTCCGGGGGGATTGGTTTAGCAAGGAGGGCCCTTCCTGCAAGATCAGCCCCATGAACACTGATACGGACACACGGACGCACGGACACACTGACACACGGGCGCACACACACGGACACACGGACACATTGACGCTGCCCGCCCCCACGGGACTGCCCCGTCCCGGCGCTCCCCACGTGTTGCTGCGTGTAGGAGGGAAGGGGAGATCTGGTGATTACTGGGGGAGCTGACAGAAAGTGTGCGGGAAGGGGGAGGGAGGGGCAAAAACGGGCTCGGGAGAGTCGGTGAGTGCCCGGGAAAGGCGGAGTTATCGTGGGGCGTGGGAGAGCATCGGCGCCAGGCCCGGGAAGTGCATCCCGTCCAGATAACCCATCAAACCCACAGACACTTGCCAGTTCTCGTCTTTTAGCTCCGTTTTACTTTACAACAACCCTTTGGTTTGGTTTTCGGGGGGGAGAGCCGACTGTCTGTTTGATGCTGTGGTGCTTTTTTTTATCTTTTTACAGAACATTTTTTTCCTTCCGTGGCAGTTTACACGTAATAATAAAATGCTGCAACCGCGTCAGACGTTCAGGTGACCCGGCCTGATGTCGCCTGCATGTGGCGCAGCTGGGAGGGAGGGTCCTCTCCAGCCCCCACCCCGCTCTACCAAGGAGCATTTCGTGGAGCTTCTTGTCCCGCTGCGGCCCTACGGGTGCGTTGGGTCTGATTTCTGGGATCGTCCCTGTTTTTATCTTCATGGACAATTTCATGTGCCCTCCTCCCGCGCTCCTTTGCTCCCAGAGGCTCGGAGCCGTCCCACCGATGCTCCCCCCCGGGGCTTGTTGCGATGTGACTCCGGTTGAGGGCGCGGGGGAGTGGAACTGGAGGGAACGGCTTTTCCCCGGGGCCCAACGCCACTCCTACGAGCTCAGTGAGCCACGCACGGTGGAGTGGAAGGAGGGGGGGAAAATGTATTTTAAAAAGGAAGAACCGTTGGGAAAAGAGATGTGGAGTTCAAGCCAAGTTTGTGTTTTGGCTCGAAGTTTAGAGCGGATCAAACCTTTTATCTCTCTGTGCCTCCTGTCCTTCTGGCTTCTCTGCCGCCGTCCCCCTCCCGGGGCACAGGGACTCCCCGGCAGAGCGATGACCGCGGGGCTGGGGTCTGGCCCTCGGGGGGCCTTGACCCCGAGCTCCCCACGGTACACGCAGTCTAACTGCGCAGAGAAGGCACCTCGGCCCCGCTCCCATTCCTTTACTCCCTGGATTTTCCTTCCTTTTACTGAAAACGAGATGACTTTTTGCTTTAATTCTTCCACATACGTGATTTTAATAGCTCTGTCAATCATGCTATAGGAGGAACATTTCATACAATTTTAGATGTAATGTACTTAAACCATAAATCGCTTAAACCTATTCTTAGTTTTGCATATTCAATTATTCTCTTATATATAACTCTCACAGCAAAAAGCCCGAAGACATAATTATGTTACTGTGCCTAACGCCAACTCATCTGCCTAGGAAAGTTGTTTTGTTTAATACCCAAACGTGAAGTTTAACTCAAATTCAACTGAACTGCCAAACCAAGCGAAAGACCACGAACAGCAAAAAAAACCCAATCCTACCCCGATGGTGTCTCCGGGGGGCGGAGGGGGCGGGGGCTGGACAGTTTTTTGGTATTTTGTGGAGATAGAGAGTTTTTGGGGTGTTTTTTTTTCGTAGCTCGGGATTTTTTGTTTCTTTCTTTTTTTTGGGGGGGGGGGTAGTGTGTCATTTTTTGGGCGAGGGTTGGTTGGTTTTTTTCTTTTTTGTATATTTGGTTTTTGATTTTTTTTTTTGTGGGGGGGGTGGACATTATCAGAGCGAACTGCATTACATTGAAAGACGGGCTGAGGATGTTCGAAGATTATTTGAATATAGCCGACATTGGGTCTCTTTAATCCCCTTGTGTTGAAAGTGCAGGTATTCCTATTATTCTAGGCATAACGCCATTGAGCCGCTAAATTGTGATGGTAGGAGGGAAAACTCATTAAAGGGAGCTCATTTAGAGAGCTATAATTTTTTATTTTTTTTTTTAAAAAGCACCTCCCCTTAGTATTTCTGCTGTTTGGACGCAAATGAACAGACGTTTATTTGCTTTTCTCCCTTGACCGCTCCAATCCTCCTGTTCCATCAGTCGTGTTCAGCGATACAGGATCGTCTCGCTGGGATTTTTCTATTCTGCATTGTCACTAAATATGATTTTCAATAGCTATGACCCTTAAAGAAAAAGGCACAAGGGTGCATCAGATGTATACGCGTCTGCATGTGCACATGTACACACACTTCGGTCACGATGCTATCTATGGTGTGTACAGATATTTACGAGTACGTATGCACATGAAAGACAACACGTTTCAAGAAACAGCTCAACAGGTACCCAGCTTAATCTGCAAACCTAAAGGTACGGCTATTAATTTTTAAAATTTCATCTAGGACTGTGGCTGGAGGTGACCAACACCACAGAAGGTTTCCCACAGGTTCCTGCTTTCTGTATGTTCTGTTTGGTCTCTGAGCATTTCCAAAAGTCACCTGCTGACTGACTGAAACCACACACTCCTCCATTTTAATAAAGACACGAATAGTTAAAAAAAAAAAAAAAAAAAAAGGTTTGGGCTGAAATTAATAGACAGCTTCTATGAAAATTTTGCCTTCAGTATGAGCGATTTATACAAAATTATCGACAGGAATCTGAAGAGTTATGTATGTCAATTGGCATGTCAGCATTATAGAAGTGCAATCTCTAAGACCAAACCCGCACCTCATTAGCCAACGAAAACTTCCCCACTCCTGGGTGGATGCAGTGCTTATTCACCAGAGCTAAAGACGAACAGTCCTGCTGGGATCGACATTAAAGTCCTGAAAGTTAATTATTTTTCCTTTTGTTTAAGCAGTTATGACTACTTTAAAAATCCATTTGCTACAGCAGTTTACAGCAAACTTTAAATTCTAACATATAGAAAAGTATCTCCCAACAGCTAGAAAAAAAAATTTAAATTAGATCTCAGAGCATTAAACAGCATTCTGCAATGAAATGACACGCATCCTTTTGCTCAACAGCTTTCATACCAGTTGCTAAAAATGGGGGGCGGGGGGATGGAAGGGGGAGAAAGGTGTGACCCCGCCGCTCCCCGGAATGCTCCGGAGGGATTGGACTGCTTTTCGGGCTTGAAGTTTAGAGGTCGATTCTCTTTTCGGGACGCGCAACAAGAAGCGCTTTCTCTTTCCGTGGTGTGAATTAGAGGGGAAGTGCCTCGCTGGACGGTGTCCTCTCGTTCCCCGGGGAGGTGGGTGTCCCCCGGGAGCCACCGGGCGAGTGGGGGCCCGCGGCGAGCAGGGCCGGGCAGCGCCCGCTCCCCCCCCACGGGAAAAGTTAAGGCCTCGGCAAGGTCCGGACCACCAGCCCAGCCATAAAAGCCACAAAATGAACGCTCACGCCTAGAAGAGTAACGCAGTAAACTGCCTTCCCTTGCAGTAGGGAACGAGTACTAAAATAAATCTACCTTCATCCCTCCTGATTTACATAGGTTAGGGAACATCGACATTTACTGCAGATTGCACTTCATTCTATTTGCCGCTGCTGCTTAGAAATTCCTTCCCAAAATCTAGATTCCCCTGCTGTGTTTCCAGGCTTACCATGGTAAACACCACTATGTTCTGCAGTTAGCTTTTCTTTTTTATAGAAGTGACTTTTTCCGCTTTGAAATTTATTTAAGCAAAACAGAAAAAAAAAAAAAAAGAAGGAACGCATCCTTAGGATTTCCGTTTAGCAGAAAGGTTTTTTAGTAAACTATATACACAATCTGATTTCCTTCGTACCGTCTAAATAAAAATTATTTCACACTGCATTTACAAGAAATGATACAAAAAGAAAACAAAATCAAAGAGAAAACAAACAAACAAAAATATCCAGATACAACAAAGTTTTAAGAACCCCGGAAAAAATAAAATGGAGCTTCCAAAACAAAACAAAAGTTTTATAAATAAACAAGTAACAAAAAAAAAAAAAACCCAACCCCAACCCAACAAGCCCGCGAGAATATCTACAAAAAACTTTTAAGTGTTCTTTTGGATTTGTCTTAGTACATGAGTAATAAATGAGAACTGTTTCCTCATCAACTTCGAGTTAATTAGTCAATAAAAAGCCTTCGCAAGAAGCCATCCGTGACCGAAATCGTAGCGGTTCCGCGCGGTATAAAATTTGGCATCACCTACAACTTTGTGTGTTTATTATTGGTATTTTTTCTTTTCGCCGCCGTTTTCCCCCTTTCTCTCTTTCTTTCTCTTTCTCCTCTTTTGCAAATAAACGCTTTATGTCTCTTGGGTGAATGATAAATACTGTACAAAAAGTCTCGATAAAACACAGAAGTTCAGTCTAAAACTAGTTTCATAAACTAGTCCTTCTAAAAAAAAAAAAAAAGGTAAGTAAAGCAACCGTTACCTTTTTTCTCTCTCGTTATTATTATTATTATTTATTATTATTATTACAAGAACATCAAAACATTTCTGTACAAAAAGGAAGAAAGAAAGAAAAAAAAAAAGAGAGAGAGGCGGGGGAGGGCGGGAGGGAAGGGGCGCGAGAGGCAAAAATAAGAGGGGGGAACCTGGGAGCGGGGCAGGAGCGGCGCGGGGCCGGGGCGCGGGCAGGCGGCCGGGGCTGAGCGTGCGGTGGCAGCGGCGGGGCGCGCAGTCCTGCGGGCCGGCCCGGGGCCGGTGGCCGAGCCGGTGCCCGCGCCCGTGCCTGCCTCCGGCGCTCCGGTGCTGGCGGGGGCTCAGATATGCGTCAAGGGAACGGTGCCGTTCACCCCCGTGCTGGCGCTCTGGTAGTGCTGGGGCAGGGAGTGGAGCCGGCTCTGGGCGGCAGCGGCCGCCGGATCCCCACCTTCCCCGGCCGGTAAGTACATGCTGATCATCTCCCGCAGGTCCCCGGGGCACGGGGCCCGCGAGTGCGAGGTGACGGGCGGGCTCACGCTGGGCTCCGACTTCACCAGCGAGCCCAGGGCGCCCAGCGCACCCGATGAGGCGGCCGCCGCCGCTGCCGCTGCCGCCGCTGCCGCCGCCGAGTTCTGATGGGGCTGGGAGCCGTAGGGCAGGGCGCCGTAGCCCGAGGGCGAGGCGCTCATGTAGCCCTGCGAGTTGGAGATGGGGCTGTACTGCAGGGCACCCATGTCGTAGCGGTGCATGGGCTGCGGGTTGTGCGGGTGGTGCGGGTGATGTGGGTGCGGGTGGTGCGGGTGCCCCCCGCTGCCCGGGTGCTGGCTGTAGGCGAGCTGCGCCTCCTGCATCATCGCCGCCGCCGCCGCCGCGGCCGCCACCGAGCCCGGGTAGGCGCCGTTGGCCCAGCCGTTCATGTGCGCGTAGCCGCCGCTGGCCGTGCCGCCCGGGCTCTCCAGCCGCTGCCCGACGCCGCCCGGGCTGACGCCGACGCCCATGCCCACGCCGACGCCGGCCGGGCCTCCCCCGGCCGAGCCGGCGCTCAGCAGCCCCCCGGCCAGCGAGTACTTGTCCTTCTTGAGCAGGGTCTTGGTCTTCCGCCGTGGTCGGTATTTATAATCCGGGTGCTCCTTCATGTGCAGCGCCCGCAGCCGCTTCGCCTCGTCGATGAACGGTCTCTTCTCGGCCTCCGACATGACTTTCCACTCGGCCCCCAGGCGCTTGCTGATCTCCGAGTTGTGCATTTTGGGGTTCTCCTGGGCCATCTTCCGCCGCTGGCCCCGCGACCACACCATGAAGGCGTTCATGGGTCTCTTGACCCGGTCCTGGTTCGCTTTGTTCCCCCCGCCGCCGCCGCCGCCGCCGCCGCCTCCGCCGCCTCCCGCTCCGGTCTGCCCCGAGAGGTTCGTGGGGGCCTGGGCTCCGCCAGGGGAGTGCAAGTCCGTCTCCATCATCATGCTGTACATTCAAATAGCTTTTTTATTTTCCACCGGTGCCAGACGTGAAAAATGAATCAAACATAGAGGAGCCCGGGAGGACGGGGAGCGAGCGAGGCGAAACCCGTTTGTATCTAGGTAGCGACCGCCGTGCGAAAAAAAAAAAAAAAAAAAAAAAAAAAAAAAAAAAAAAAAGAGGAGGAGAAGAAAACCGCGAGGACAGCGATCGGCGACCCTGCCGGCGAAAAACTTTCTCCCTCTCGCTAATCACTTTCGGGGCTCGGCGGCGACGGGGGTTCGAGCTGCTCAAACAGGTGCACGGCAAACTTGCTGCTTCACTTGGCGCGGCGGGAGGAGTGTGCGGAGCCGTCGGCGGTGTCCTCCGCTCGCCGGCGCTCCCCGGCAGACGCGCGCACACCCCTCCGCTCCCGCTCTTATCCTTAACGGAGCTATTTTTTTTTGTTCTTTGCTGCTAACTTGGAGAGAGAGAGAGGGAGGGAGGGGAGGGAGCGTGTGTGACTTGCATCCGCTGATCGCAGGTGAATGGAGCAGAAGAGAGGAGAACCCACCGCCACGCGAAAAGGAGGCGGAAAAAAAAAAAAAAGTATTTCAACGTTAACTGAAAAAAAAAAAAAAAATTGCAGGAGGAGGATGGGGGGGGGGAGGGGGTGGGGGAAGGAGCCCAACCAAAACACGCGCCGAGCCCGGCGGCCGGGGCGCGGCGGCACAGTAATTTGCTGGCGGTGGTCTCCCTCCCGCGGCCCGGGCGGGCCGGGCCGGGCCGGGGCCGGGCCGGGGCCGGCACAGGAGGAGGAGCCGCCGGGCGCGCGGGCGAGCGGCGCCGCAGCCATACGGCGCGCGCCGAGCCCGCCTTAAATCGCCTGGCGGCGGCCAATGGGGGCGCGCCGGCGGGCGCTGATTTGCATATGGCGCGCGCCGAGCGGTGACGTGCGCCGGGGCGCGCCGCGCTCGTGGGGAGCGGGGGAGGGCGGCGGAGGGGCAGCGTCCCGCCCGCGGTCCCCGACGGCGCCCCCGAGGCGAGGACACCCTTCAGACCCCGGCCACCCCTGAGACCCCGGCCACCCCTCCGTCCCGGACATCGCCGCACGGAGCCTGGAGCCGCCGGCCGCCCCGTCCGGCCGGGCGCACCCCTCACTTAGACGACCGTCGAGCAATATTTAGGGGGGCTGAGAAGCCCCAGGCTGTTCGCCCCGCTACCGCAGCCGTGCGAACGGCACATAAACACGCCTTTTCCGCGGGACTTCGTTCTGGAGATTTCTCCGGAGCCCCCTCAGACGTCTCTCCCCGGTGTTAAAACTGCTCCCAGGCCCAGGCATGCGGAAGAGGCTGGACGCAGTCGTTTTTCACTTAGTCCTAGGGGAGTTAAAAGCACCTGCGACTAAAGAAGGTACACGGAAACATGTTATCTTTGTATATAGTAAGTACAGGTGTATGATTTTTTTTTCCCCTTGAAAATATTAAAAGACTGCCTTTGTGCTCTGGCTGTCCAGTGACATTATAGTTACTTTACAGGGGTGAGAAAATGGTCCACATAGAAATTCATGCTGCAGTCTTTAATTGCAGCCATAGGAATGGCAAGTCTGTCGCACAAATGCCCACGCATGTATAAGCGGCCACCCCATCATCTTTTGCCAGGTGGAGAAAGACTCTTTTCACAGTCTGTGTTAATTTTCCTGATCCTAGTGGCCATCCAAGGCTGGAATCACGCTGCAACTCCCCGAATTACTGCTATTACCACCAGAAGTTTTCTGAAGGAGGAATATGCACTGTGCACAAAGCACCGGTCTTAGACACTGGGCTAGGACTAGACTTTTTTTTTTTTTTCCCCCCATTTCCAATGACATGATAATCTGGGTTTGCTGTGGAGAGAAAAGTGCTTCTCCATTTCTGATGGCTGAAGGCTCAGCCTGCTTCCAGCCTTTGAGCTCAATCTATGTGATGCTGTTAACTCGGGTGCAAATGATTTTGGGAGGACACTATTTTCTCCCAGTAAGCCCTAAGGGTGCAAAGAGGGCAGGGGAAGTGGTGCGAGAACGGACCCGCGCTTCTCCAGCTTCTCCAGTTCCTCAAGTTGCCATAGCCATGGCAAAATAAGGGAGGCCCTTGTGATTGCTAAATTACATATCAAAAAATATAACTGGTTGGGACAGGAGGGGAGGGGGAGGAGGGGGAAGGTAACTGCAGAAGGGCGCATTTCCACTTGGATGGTCAAAAGAAGATAGGAAGAGTAAAAACTGCAAGATAAGATGGCATGGCTTGAGAATTATTCACCCAAGGCCCAAGTGGTATTTTTCCCTGAAATTTGATAGAAAGCCACCTAAAGGAATCCTGACAAATAAATGGGTGGAATAATTGTGGGGCAATATTTTCCAGATGAGTCCTATTCATCCTGCCAGTCAGTAGACCCTGTGGGAACACACCCTTATCCCTGAGAATTTGGGATACGCACCAGCTTCCCTCTCCCTCAGGTTCAGGGAAACTGTGCCCGAGGCTGAACTTTCCCTTCCCTGGTGCAGAGGCAGCTGCTAATCCATACTGTCCCGGGGCCTGCCCCCTCCTGGACTTTTTTCTGGTGTGGGGTTTACCCTCTTTCCCCTGGCCCCCGCTAAATAAACAGAGAATGCCCCCTTCCCTCCCCTAGAAGCAGCCAAACTACCAGGGACACGGCAGAGTGGGGAAACACGGGCAGAGAACAGGGAGCGAGGATATGCTGCTGCCGTGAGTCCCTTTTGCCTCAGGCCAGGTGCACCCCGCTCACCTTCGGCCAGGGAAGTCTATCGACTGAACGGGAGGGAGGAAGGTGTAAAAACCAGTTCGAGGGGACAGCCAGGGGCTTTTTTTCCCTGGTAAAGGTAGTGCAGATTCAAGGGGCAAGGAACGCAGTCAAGCACTTTTTTCGAGCGTCCTTTCTCAGGTCTGCGGGGCTGGGGTAGTGCAGGCCAGGGGTGCGCCCGGAGATGAGAGGGCCTTGGACTTTCCGCTGCAGAAAAGTGGGGTTGCGAAGAACCAGGAGTCGGGCGATGGAGGGAATAGGTGAGGGCGACGGGGGTGTGGTGTGTGCCAGGTAAGCGCTGCAGGGAAGTCAAAAGGGAGGCGGAGAGGAGGTCCCGCACTGGGAACAGGACCAGGGCGGGTGAAAGGTTCGGCCGCAGCCCCTGTCGCCCGCCGGGTTCGCGGAGGGGACAGGTACCGGCGAGGGCTTCTCGCAGGCCGTGGCAGTGACGAGTGCCTCCCCCGGCCACGACTCTCCCCCACCTCCGCGCTGCGAGGTGGGACCTGCCTGGGCGGGCGGTGCCTCTTCCCGAGCCCGGCTGTGCCTGGAGGGCCGCCCCCTCGGGGCCCGGCCGGCGCTGTGCCCTCTGTGCCCCCGCAGGCGAGGAGGCGGCAGCGGGGCGGCGGGGCCGAGCCGGGCGCCCCGGAGCAGGCGGCGATCGCCGTCTGCTGGCTGCCGCCGTGCCTCCCTCGCCCTCGCCCCGGGTCGGGGCGGGCGAGGGCCAGCCCGCGCCGGGGCGATGCCGCGGGGAGATGCTCGTGAGAGATTCTGCCTGATCCCTCGCCAGCCCTGTCTGAAACGTCAGGCTGGCAGAGAGTGGGATCGCCTGCAGCTCCTCTGGCACTTCACTCCAAAACCCGCTAGCCAGAGGGAAATGCAAAGCACTCCCTTGCTACCGGGGTGCCATTACCTGGGCCAAAGCGAGCAAACTGGGAGGGAGCAGAAAGGGCAGGCAAAGGAGAGAGGGGAAGCATTTTCCTGCCCCTTGGCGACTCGGGGATCACAGCTTTGAGCACGACCTGCTTGCTATCTAGTCGAAATGGAATGGTTGGGAAAAGAGTGCCTGAATAAAGTTCCGCTTTCTTTTCCAGCGTTAACAACTGTTCTGTGCCATCCTACAGCCTCAGTCCCAAATCAGCTACGAGCTCTCTCTGTGTTTTGTTGTCTTTTCTCAGCTTGCTGGGTAAAAGCGTATGGAGAATCTCTGGAGCTTTCGAGTAGGGGCTCACCCTGTGAACGGTACTCACACATATAATTCAAATTTCACAGCTGACCTGCTCTGAAAACCTCAATCAGCTTCTAATTGAAGGGAAAACAAAATATTGCTTCCCTACAGCAGAGCTAACGATTTAATCATTATATCAGACATTATAGCTTTTAATTAGGCTAATGCTGATACTGTATGGAAAGAGATAATTCAACACAGTTCTTGATGAATTCTGTAATTGGGTTAACGGAGGAGCAGTTGGGGGAAGAGACGTCAATATTCAAGCTGCGTCTATAGCCACCAGGTTTATGAATGAAAGGGAAGGGGGGAAAAGAAAAGGGGGGGAGGAAAGGAAAGGGCTAAAATTCCCTGACGAGAAATGTCTCCCCCCTTCGCCCAGGAGAGCCGTGCCAACCAACTGGAAGCGTGAGGAGAGTAAGGGCTGTCCTGCCGCCTCCTCGGCGCACCCCGCTCCCGGCCGCCGCTCCCAGACAGCCCGGACTGCTGCGACAGCAGCGGGAGCCGAGCAGCGGCCCCGCTCCGGGACCTCGCCACGGCTCCCCGGAGCGGCTCGGCTGGGGTCAGTGACTCACAGGCCGCGTTCCCTCTATCTCCACCCCAAACAACGGCTCGTCCGCCGCCACGCTGGGAACAAGCGAGAAGGGGGCAACCAGGGCCACCAGCACTGGGATTGTTCTGCGGGGGTGCCCCTGGGCAAAGTCGGGAGCACGGTGGGGGAACGCCGAGGGTGGTACGGGACGGGACCGAAAGGTTTCTGAAGTCCTAATGAGAGCAGCTGCACAGCGGGCGGGCTTGGCTCGGCTGCCGGGAGCCGCCCGCCCTGCGGGGCGCGGGTGCTGGGCAGGGGGCGCGACACGGAGCACAGGGGTGTGCTAAGGGCCAGCCTGATCCGGGCAAAATCAAAGCGGCCGGAGGGCAGGCTGCTGCTCCATGTAGGTACTTCCATTTATCTATTTATTGTGCCAGATAAAAGGGCGGCTGAAGCCGTTTTTCTAAAGGAATTCTGCATCACCGCTCTTTCCACAGTGTCGATAAATTGCCCTTTTCCGAAGAGTTTGTATATCCC